GAGGGAAAGAGGGCCGGCAAAGGGCAAGAGGGGAGGGACGGGGCCCAAAGGGGACGGGAAACGCGAGGACAAGGAGGGGCAAAGGAGGAGGGCCACACAGGGGCAAGCGCAAAAGCGGGGGAGCGGGGGGGAGCCCGGGCGACCCGAAGGAGCGGAGGCAGCCGCGAGACGGCGAGAGAAAGGGGCCGGGGGGCAGAGGCACCAAGGGGGCAGGAGGCCAGGGGGGGCAAGGAGCGCGGGCGCAAACAGCAAAACAAGCGGGGGACAGCGGAAAGGGGGCACACAAAGGAGGCGAGCGGGCACAGAAGGCGAAGGGGCAGGCGGGGAGAAGGGGGGACGAGAAGGGGGAGAGGACCGCGACAGAAACAGGAGAGGCGGAGGGCACGCGGCGGAGGGAGAGGGGGAAGAAGAGGAGGCGAGAGGGAGAGACGAGGGAAGAGGGGGCAGGGGGGGAAAAAGGGCGGCGAACGAGGCCGAGGAAGGAGGACCAGGGGGGGGCGGCAAGAACAGAGGCACACAAAACCGAGCGCGGAGCAAGGGCCAGAGCGGAAAGGGAGGGGAGAAAGGCAGAGGGACAGGAGGGCGGCAAAAGCGGAACCACGAGCAGAAGAAGCGGGAAGAGGCAAGGCACCCGGAAGGGGACGGGCACGAAGCAAAGAGGGGGAGGAGCGGGGAGAGGGCGGGGAAGAGGAAGAGGAGGGGCGAGGGGAAGAGGGCGGGGGAACGGCAACCAAGGAGGAGGACGGGGGAACGCCAACCAAGGAAGAGGGGGAGGGAAGACCAAACAAGGGAAAGGGCCAGGGCAGGGCGACAAGGGGGGCAAGGAGGGGCACAAGAGGGCAGAGGGGGGGAGAAGGAGGACAACAAGCGGGGAAAGCAAGCAAACAGGGCGGAAAAGACGGCGGAAAAGGCGGGGGAGAGGCGGAAACCGGACGGGGGCCAGCGAGAGGGGGCGGCAGAGAAGAACAGAGGGGGCGGGGAGACGGGGGGGAGGAACCAGAGGGGGGGGAAGAAAGAAGGGGGGCGGAACGGGAGGAAGCAGGCCGGGCGGAAGGGACAGGGGGCAAGAAGGCAAAGGGGCCAAGGGGGGGAAAAGGGAAAAGCGCGAGGCAGGGGAAGGAGGGGACGCACAAGGGGAGAGCCGAGGGGGGCGAGGGGCCGGAACGACACCAAAAGGGGGGGAGGAGGGGCAGGGGCAGAAAAAGGAGAGAAGAGACAGAGGGCGCAGGGGGGGGGACCAGGGCAGAGGCGAAAGGAGGGGGAGGGCAAAGGGAAAGAGGGCCCAAAAGCGACGAGGGCCGGGGAAAAGGAAGCAGACGCGCCGGGCGGGCGGGAAGGCGGAAGGGGGGAGGAGAAGGGGGAGGGCAGAGGCGGGGGGGCAGGGCAGGGCGCGGGAGGAAACGAGCGGGCGAGAAAGGAACGGGGGGCGGAGGGACCGGGGGGAAGGGCCCGGAGCGGAGCGGGGAGAGGGGGGGAGGGGGAAGAAGCAGAGAGAGCCCGGGCCCGGGGGCAAGGCAAGGAGAGCCGACAAAACAGGGGGAGAGGGGGCACGCAGACCGGGGGCGGGGGAGGGGCCCGCACAGGGAGGGGGGAAGGACGGGAGGACGGGCAGGGAGGAGGGCAGGAGGAAAACAGGGGGGACGGGCGGAAGCAAAAGGCGGAAGCAGGGGAGGGGGCAAACAAGGGAAGGCGGGGGGGAAAAGCAAAGGGGGGAGGAAAGGAAAAGCGGGAGAACGGAGAGAGGGACAGAAGAGAGGGCGGGGAGAAGGGGCGGAAAGAAAAGGGGAGGCAGCACCAAGAGGACAGCGAGAGACACGCCACAACAAAACGGAGGGGCGGAGAGGAAGAAGAGGGCAAGCAGGGAGAGGGGAAGGGGCAGGGGGAAAGCCAAGAAGCGGCCGAAGCCGGGGGGGCAGAAGCGGGGGCGGGGCGGGCGAGGGGGGAAGAGGGGGCCAACGAAGAGGGGCCGGGAGAAGACAGCCCGAAGAAGCGGGGAGGGGGAGAAAACCCGCGAGCAAAGAGCGCAAGGGGGGGGAGGGGGGCAGAGGCCACAGGGCCGAGAGCCAGGGAGAAAGAAGGGGGAGGAGAAAGGGGAGAAGGGCAGAGGCAGGGGGAGAGGGACGCGGCAAAGGCGGAGAAACGAGACAAGCCGGAAACGAAAAAGGGGGGAGAAGGCGGGAGGGCACGGGGAGGAAGAGGGGGCCGGGGAGGGGGAGCGAAAGAGGAAAGGGCAGGGGGGAGGCCGGGGGGGAAAAGAGGGGGAAGAGCAACCGAGGCCAGAGAAGGGCCAGGCGCCGGCACAGCCAGAGGCGGCAGGGCGACGAGCGCAGCGCGAGCGCCACGGACCAGCGCGCGGGCAAGAGGAGGGGGGGGGCAGGAGAAGGACCGGGCGGAGGAAGAGAGGAGGCAAGGGGCGCGCGGGGCAGAGGGGGAGCCGGGAACGGGGAGGAGGCGGCGACAGAAACGCAGGGGCGGAAGGCGAGGGAGGAGGAGAGACGGGCCAGGGAAAAGAAGGGGACCGGGGAGGGAACAGAGGGACCGCCGGGAAAGAAGCCAAGGGGAGGGAAGGGGGGGACAGAACGAAGGACAAGGCAAAGGGAGAAAGGGACCGGGGGAAGGCACGGGGAGGAGCAAAGGGGGACAAGCAGAAACCAGGGAGGGAGGAGGGGAGGGGGGGCGCCGGGAAGGAGACGGGAGACAGGCGAAGGGGGAGGGCGCGGGCGGCGCAAAAGGAGGGGAAAGGGCAGCAAAGGGAGGGCAAGGCGGCGGGGGAAGGGGGGCGGGAAGAAGAAAGAGAGGGGAGCAACCGGCAGGAGGGCGGAAGAAAGGGGAGGAAAAGAAAGGGGACAGGGGGAGAAAAGCCGGGAGGGCGGAAAGCAAGCGCCGAGGGCGGGGGAGGGGGCAGGGACGCAGAGGGGGGGAAAGGGGGGGAGGAGAGGGCCGCAGGAACACACGGGGGAGGGCAAAGGCACGGAGGCGGGGGAGAGGGGCGAAGCGGGCGGGAGGGGGAGGAGCGGGGGGGACGGGAAACAACGGGAAGCGAAGCGCAGAAGGCAGGGAGGCACGCAGGAAGAGGGGGAAAGGACGAGAGGGGCCGGAGGGCGGACGGGCGGGGCCGGGAGGGGGGCAGAGGGAGGGGGGAAGCGGGAGGGCACAGAAGAAGGAGGCGGCGGAGAGGGGGAAAAAAGGGCAAAAGGGAAAACGCCAAACCAGGGGCAACGCCTGCCGGGAGAGGAAAATAAAACGGAAAAGGAAAGGGGCCAAAGAGGAGGGGGAAGAAGGGGAAGGGGACAGAGGAGAAAAGCGGAAGGGGAAGGGGAGGGAGCGGGGGCAACAAGGCCAGAGAGGGGGTGGAGGGGGAAGACGGAGCAGCAGGCAGGGAGGACCAAAAGAAGCACAGGGGGCGGCCAGCAAAGCGAAGGCGGAGAGAGGGGAAAGGGACGGAGGAAGGAGGGACGGGGGACGCGATCGAAGGAAACGGGGGAACTGGGGGGGGGAACACAGGCAGGGAGGGGCGGGAGAGGAGGGAGACCAGAAAAACACAGCAGGAGTAGGCCGGCGAGCGTGGGGGCGCCAGATGGGCGGCGGGCGGCAAAAGAAGCAGCAGATGGGTTAGCACGGCAACCGCAGGAAGCAGAAGAGAGGCAGCAGCAAAACGGGGCGACGCAAGCAGGGGCGGGGGGTGAGAGGGGGGGGGCGGACAACACAAGCAGGGGCCACAACGTGGGGGTGGGGACAACAAGGCAGCAAGGCGGGGGCCAAGAAGCCAGGCGGGCAGGGGCGCAGAAACACAGTGGAGAGCAAGGAGCACAAAAAGCAGAGAACGTGGGCGGAAAAACAAAGCAAATGGAGGAGGGTAGGTGGTCGAGGGAGGGGCCAAGGTGCCAGGTGTGATGTCT